TGTCCTTCAAAGAGACACTGAGGGTAATAGCTAGAACTAGTCTTAAAATAAGGCCTATTGAGAACCTTCTAGCCTTGGACCAATAAGACAGCCTAGAACCCAGCCAGCCCTGGAATGTGGGGTGGCCAGGAGTCCCCTAGACCAACATGGATGGTGTGGAGCCCAGCCCTGGCATCAGAAAGATCTGCAGCATAGTCCGGCCTAGAACATTGTTTGCTGCATAGAGGGTTTGAGCTCAACCAGGAAGGGTGGAGAAAGTTCCACAGGGAGGCTGAGGCTTTGGTCTGGCTTGCCTGTGGATGTGGTTCTTCCTTCTTCCTGCCAGTGCCATGTGTGGGCCCTCCTCTGTCTGGGGAGGACTGCCCATGGGACCAGGCAGCCTTGCTCAGTCCCATCTGCCTCTCGGGTGCTGGACGGCCCTCGTTCTGACATCTGAATACCCAAGCTCTGCTGAGGCCAGGTCTTGGGGGCTTTGGCAGCTGGAACGGGCCTTGGAGCCCACAAGGCTTTCCAGCAGGGGCTGTGTTCCCCAGGCCTGGGAAGTTCATAGGGCTCAGTGGCCTTCGGAGTCCTCAGATGAGTCGTATCTGGTGACTGCAGTCCTGGTTCCACAGGCCCAGGCCTCTCCACACCTCATCCTAAGCTCTGAGCTGCTCACGCCTCCCCGTGAGGCAGCCTTGCCCTCTACACGGCCCCGCGGGACCAGGGCTTGGCCATATCCCCAGAGGGAGAATAGGTGAGTGCATGGTTAATGCACACTCGGGCAGGCCCTCATGGCCAATGCCTTGAGGGTGCCAGGCCTGCAGAGTGGAGGACAGCGTGGATGGGAGGCCCTGAGAGCGGCTTCGGGGATTCTCACCTCTCAGCTTCTGCCCAGCTCGTGTGCCCCGGCGCACAATGGCAGGGCAGGGTAGGGCCTTAGGAGCGATGACTTGGAGCGCACAGAGGACAGGGCTGTGGGCAGAGAGTGGAGCCTCCCTGGAGGGTCCTCGCTGGTGTGGGCAGTGAGTCGGGGGGCTTAGGCACCAGCTGTGCAGGCTAGGCTAGAAGGCTTTAGTCCCACACTGGGGCCACCACTCTCCTGGGCTATGCTCGCACGCTGTCGCCACCGCAGGGTTTCGCTGGTCGGTGGCCGTACCTGCTGAAGGTGTGTCCGGAGGGGCCGTCCCTGAGGGGACCCTGCCAGCCCCCCACCTGTTCCTCAGTCCAACTCTTGGCTGTCCCTACCCCTCCTTGGGGCCCCTCACTGTCCACAGCCGGGCCTGGGGTCAGCAGGAGACTTAGCCAAACAGGGCCGCCTGCCCTGGGCATTGGAGAGGCCCCAGCCCTCCTCCCTGGAGTGGACGGGGACAGGCAGGGGCTCCCCACGAGCTGCCCGCAGGTCCTGGGTTTCTGTCAGAACCACTGCCCTCCGGAGGACAGGCTGCTGGGACACGACCTGTCTCTCCTGCCAGGGTACACACTTGTTTCTGTGCGTGTGCACACAGGCACATGGGTACATACCGAGTGCGTGTATGTGCATAGACCACGGTGCGTGCGTACATGTTTCCCCCGCAGCTCGTGTGCAAGCACACTGTTGAGTGTGTGAGGCACGCATGCTGTCTCCCCGCCTGCCTCTCTTCCTCCCCTAGGGCCCCCCGAGGGAGTGGCTGCGCGTGGTGTGTCTGTGAATCTGTCAAGTGTACCGAGCAGTGTCTCTGGGTGGTTGGTGTTGGCTGGTGTGACCTCCACCTGGGTGTGTCTGGGTCTGCCTGTGATTCGCGTGTTGCAAGGGAGGGGACCGTGGGATGCTGGGCCCGTTGCCCAAGTGCGTCCCATCTGATGCTCATTCACGTGGGTTGGGTGAGGTGGATGTGTGTGACCCGAGACGCCTTGCCCAGTCTACCTGTGTTCGCTGGGCGTGGGGCCGTGGGCTGGGGTATCTGATGGCCGGTGGGAGTTTCCTGGGTGGGTCTGCCTGGCAAGGGTTCGTGTGCGTGGGGCAAGGAGGCTGCTGTGTCTGGGTCTCACTGTAGTTTTCCAGGCCTGGAACGTGTTGGCAGGCCGGTGCAAGCGGCCAGGTGTGTCTGTCTCTGGCTGGGGCTCGTGGGTGTCATCCGGATACCGAGCATGTGCTGGTGTCCTGCCCGGCTGTGGCCTGACGGCCCTCGATGTCTGCACACACCTGTGGTGCCTGGCACAGTCCCAGAGTTAGGCACGTGAGGCCCCTTGCCCCTGCAGCGCGGGAGGGGGGCGGGGGGGGGAGGCCTGGCCTCCCCTCAGACGCCCCCCTCTCCCTCTTTCCCAGAATAAGCCGCCTCTTCAATGGCACCGAGCCCATCGTCCTGGACAGTTTGAAGCAACATTATTTCATCGACCGGGATGGGGAGATTTTCCGCTACGTCCTGAGCTTCCTGCGGACATCCAAACTGCTGCTCCCAGATGACTTCAAGGTGAGTCTGCGGCCGGCAGCTCCCCTGAGCCGCCTCTACGGTGGCATTACACAGGGGACGCTGTGACTTAATAAATGGACCCGTGGTCGTCATGGCAACCATAAAAAGTTAAACGATGGAGCCGAGGGCTAAATCAGTTTTTCTAAACTAATTTTGTTTTCTCACATTTTTAGCTTATTTATCAGGGTGTAACAACAATTAAGCATTGGTGCTTACCCCTTTTCGTTTGCCGTGTTGAAGGACGGTCGCATGCCAGAGTTACGGGAGTTAGAGCTTTCCCACATCTGTTCCTTGTTGGCAGCTTGCAGGGGAAGCCCTGATCCAAACCAACCAGACCTTTTAAACAAAAGGTTACCCCCAGGTCCCAGGGCAGGCCTGTCCAGGGCAGCCGACCTGGTTCCGAGAGGCCTACCTCCATGCCGCGCCCCTCCACAGCATTGGGATCCCCGAGGAAGGAAGCTCAGGCCTGCCGATGCCCTTCTTTCCTTCCTTCCTTCCTTCCTTCCTTCCTTCCTTCCTTCCTTCCTTCCTTCCTTCCTTCCT